AAGAAACTCACCGTTGTTAAATCAATGAACTCGACATTCCAGCTGCTCTGTCGCTCAGGTGATTGTTCAGTCTGCAGAATAAACAACTGTGCGGGCCCTGCCGACGTTCGTGTCAAGCTTTTGAAGAGTAGGGGCCATGGCCGCTTTGCAAGACGTCGTTTATTTAAACTGCGTGGGTCCGGAAGGGGCCATTCCATTGTGCGGCTGGGTAGTCAGTATCGCCGGCTCCGACACAGTCATTGCAGCTGCCAGTGGCATTCTTAAAGGGGTCGAGCAGGTAGTTCAGGGAAAGCACTCCGATTACAAGATTGATTTTATCAAGGTGCCCTCCGACTCGGTGACCATTAGCTGTCCCTCAATTTGGGGGGGCCCCAAGCCCAGAGACCTTCCTCCGTTGAAGGCCTGTCTTGAAGCATGGAAAAAGATCGAGAAGGCCGAGTTGCCGAGCAGCGAGGCCGAGCTTCCTTTACCTTCGCGGGCTCAGCGTCCTCGGGGAAGCCTTCGTGCCGGGATGAAGGGGCTCAGGGGTCTTTTCAACGAGGACGACGACGACGAGGAGGAAGACACCGACGACGAGGAGGAGTTCACCAAGCGAAGAGCGACTTCCCGCATGCAGCCTCCGGGGGCATCAGGCAGCCGAGCTTCGTCGAGCAAGAAGGACGAGGGACAAGGCCTGGGGACCGGGGACTTGAAGAAGGCGCTCATGCGAGGCTTAGCCGAGGGCCAGACTCCGAGCGACTTGATGCCCATCATGATGATGAGCATGCTCCTGGACAAGGACAAGAAGGAAAAGCGCTCCAGGCACAGCGGCCGCGACGGCAAGGACCTCAGCTTGTTTGGTGGTTCCGACTCCGAAGAGTCGGGAGGCGAAGACGCTTTCCAGGGCAAAGGGATGCGGGCAGTGGCGACACTGCACAAGCTGCACGAGCAAATCCGCAGGCGACCGAGGAAGATATGCGAGATCTTCGAGCACGAGGTTGTTCAGGAGCTGGGGGTGATCAAGGGCCAAAGTTGGACTTTGAAGGATTATGTGAAGAAGCAGCCGTGGGGAAAGTTCAAGGGGATGTATCGCTGTGCCTTGATGGATGTCGAAGTGTACGAGCAGCTGCGAAATGGCGACCCGCAGATTGCAGCGGCGCAGATCGTGCAGAATCTCAAGGCGAAGATCCAAAGCGTGTTGCAGGGCGGGGACTGGAGCACGGCATGGCTCCTCACTGGGCTGCCCGACCCACTCTCCAAGCGAGAGTGGGCGGGCAGCAAGGAGGAGATGGCGATCATTTCGGGCTACGTGGATGCTCTCCATCGCCTGAAGAAGCGGGTGAAGGACAATCAGGCCGCAGCGGAGGAGGACGAGGGAGAAGGCCAGGCGGGGCACTCCCGAAAGTGAAGGCTCCCTGCTCAATGCATGCCAGGGCGGAACAATCGCTTCCGCATCCGGTCCTTCGGGGCCCAAATTCGAAATTCTATGATTATCTTTGCTGGTTTGAGGGTGCTCAGGGTATTTTGCCGGAGCGTGGTGCCGGCGCCAACATTCCACTCTTCCCGTGCGTGCTCCCCTACCCGGAGGCCATCTTGACTGACGGTGTGAGCCTGGACCCCGAGGGTTGCCGTAGGTGGTTTGCCCGAGCCTTCGTTAACACGTTTGTGGCTTGGGGAAACTTCGTAACTCTTGGATGTCCAGCAGAAGGGGGCAGTGGATACGAGCCGCGGGTAGCTTATTTGTGCCGGGAAGAGGCCCGGGTGATGGCAGATGAGCTTCTTGGCGAGGTGGATGAATTCGTTTCTCTGGATCTTGCTCTAGGTCGTCTCGAGTGTGATGGCAAACGTGGTTGTATAGAAGCCCTACTAGAGAAGCTCCGTTGTACAGGTGCTGCATGCTACACTGATCTGCCTTCCCAGGTTTCAGGAAAGGCTCTTTCAACGGCGTTGCCGGTGTGTGCTACGAGGGTGGCTATGCCGGAACAGGCCGGGCTGGTGGACCCGGGCAGATGGCTTGAGCCACATCAGGCTGAGATCTTCAAAGACCTAGCCCAACTCCGCAAACCCGAACATCTGTGGGAGGACATCGCGGTGGCGTGCCATCGGGTGCCACCCGAGGAGGAGAATGAGCTTGCACGTAAGTTGGTTGCACATGGCATGGCAATCCCCGTTCCAGAACGTGAACTCCCGCATGATAGTCGAGGGCATCTTCATGTAGGTGGATTGTTTTGTGTTGCCAAAAATGAGAAAGAGGACCGCTTGATATATGACAGGAGACCAGAGAACAGCAAGATGAGCAAGCTTACATGGGCGAGGCTGCCGAGCGGGGCGTGCTTTACTAGGATGCTTCTCGGGGAGAACGAGTATCTCAGGGGCTCGGGGGATGACCTACGCAACTATTATTACATGTTGTCTTTGCCGCCGAACTGGGTGAAATTCAACTCTGTGGGCCGGCGCATGTCCCGCCAGGTGCTCGACGAGCTCGGTTACGACAGCGAGGTGGACCATCGACTATGTTTCAAAGTCTTAGGCATGGGTGATATAAATGGTTGCGATATTGCTCAGGCCACTCATGAGTGCATCCTTCGTGAACATGGGGTACTTGATCGTTCGACTCAACTGGTATACGGTGAACATGTCCCCCAGGGTCCATTGTGGGAGGGAGCTTATTTAGATGACCTCTTGATCACTTTGCGTTGCCGAGTTCCTGGGAGAGTACCTCTCGATGGCAGTTTTCGCCCTCCCGCTGCGCAGGCATCGGATGCCGACGCCAAGCAGGTGGCAGCTGCTGAGAAGGCCTACAAGGAGGCCCGATTACAGCGTGCCGAACACAAAGCTTTCCGATTCGAGACTTCGTTCAAGGCTTGGGGTGCACATGTCGACGGCATCATCGGCAAGGTGGGGGTACCTATCGAAATCCGTAGACAGGTGTGGGTGCTACTTGCAAAGATTGTCGCCGGAGGCTGGTGCAACAAGGATACGCTTCGCCGGGTGCTTGGTTGCTTAGCGTACATCTTCCAATATCGCAGGGAATTGTATTGCCTACAACACCACATCTATAAGTATGTGCAGGGCATGCCGGATGAACAATGGTGCAGGCTCCCGCGGCATATTTTGGATGAACTTCGTTCGTTTGCATTGCACCTCCCCTTTGCTCTTTGGGACATGCGTAGGAAGCTCAACTCCACCCTGATCTCGACAGATGCCACACCAACATCAGGTGGCTCGGTGGCCTGCAACATGCCGCCAGAGCTGGCGAAGGAGCTTTGGCGTCAGTCCGAGATTAAGGGCGAGGCGGTTCGGTTGGACAGGGGCATCGGGCCTGACCTCTCTTGGGACCTGCCAAAGGACCCTTCGATCTTCGCGAGCACGGTTGCGGAGAGCATGGACTGGCGGGTCACCGGGTCTTATTCGTTCCGGCAAACTTCACATGTGAACTTGCAAGAACTCCGAGCCCTGAGACGTGAGGTGATCCGCATGGCCCGCGCCCGGCAGCATCGCAATTCTGTGGTCGTAGCCTTGAACGACTCTAGGGTTGTTTGTGGGTGTGTTGCAAAGGGGCGCTCATCAAGCTACAAGCTGAACGGCATGTTGCGAGGCCTTCTTCCTCATCTCGTTCTGGGCAAGATCACGCTTGCCGTCTTATGGGTGGAAACCTCAAACAACTATGCGGACCACCCGTCTCGATTTCGGGAGCTGCCTCCGCCTAGGCTGCCGCCTCCTTGGTTGCAACGTCTTGGAGTATGTGCCTCAGCGAGAATGACGGGTATTGAGCTATCGGCAGGAGGGTCGTCAGTAACGAGAGCACATATCGAAGCAGGCTTGCACATGGCTGAGCCCATTGACATCACATGTGACTTCGATGCGCCGAGCCCTTGGATTGAACAGTGGTTTGAGCTAGGTGTCGTTGATTGGGTGTGGATTGCTCCTTCATTTGCTGCACCCCCTCACCATCGACTCCATCACAGAGGTTGTCGTTGCAGCTGGGAGGAACACGGGGTGGTACAAGATGCCGAGGACTCGATTGATCCTCGCTGGTGTCGCATTGTGGAGTTCGTGGAACGAATCTTGTGCATCGGAGGCTTCTTCTTTTTGGTGTGCCCCCGTGACACTGGGGTCTGGCTCTCAGCGGAGTTTCAGAGACTGCTCAATCGCGAAGCGGTGAAAGTGCACCGCGTCGACTGGTGCGCGTACGGTGGGTCGAGTTCGCGGTTTGGCTCTCAGGGGCCTGCTATTGTGCTCAGCAACTCTCCTCGGCTGGGTCAAATAGTGCGCCGATGCCCCGGTGATCACCATCATACCCCCTCCCCGGGAAGCCTTAGTGCTCCAAACTTTTGGGGAATCGTTTGAAGCCTTCTGCCGGGAGCTCGCGAATGCCGCGGCGCTCTGGGCGGTTAAGAAATGCAAACCTCACGCCTGAGTATAGGCGTGGGCTGCGTGAGGCATCGAGGTGGATGCTAGACCTAGCGATCTCTCTGGGTGCTCATCTTTCTTGTCATTCACCTCCTCAGAAAGTCGACCGGGTACTTGAACGATGCATCGAGGTTGCCTTTGATCGTGGGGAGAACTATATTATGTAAGGCTGGGACTCCTCGGTGTCCAACGTGCTTGGCATCTTTCGGGTCCTCTACTGCGGGGGTCTTGGTCGGCTATTCGGGGATGGCGGGCTTTGCAACCGATTCGATCGCGGATACCTATGTCGAAATCAATCGTGCAGGGTGTCGTCCTTACGCTATTGACGATGGGGAATGAAGAAAGTGGCTACTTGCGAGAGATCTGTTGGGCTGCTATGTTGGCGGTGTGGTTGAGCTTCGAGGGGCTTTTGAGGCCGGGGGAAACCATGCAGCTTTTGGTTCGCGACCTTTGCTTCCCTGACCTACACGGGGGTGGCAATGAAGGGCTGGTCGTCACGATCAAAAAGCCGAAGACCCGCAGGCTGTGGCACACACAATTCGTCTTGATCCGGGATCGCGCTCTCATCAACTGGTTGCTGTGGTGGACTGCGGGGGTCAGTGGAAACCGTGTTCTCTTCCGAGTGCCAAGGCGTAGATGGGCTAAAGTTTTTGAACAAGCTCTGTGTTGGCTCGGGCTAGAAGACCGGGGTTTTACGCTGGGAAGCCTCAGAGCAGGAGGAGCAACATGGCATTTCAAAACACACGAGAACCTCGCTAGACTGCAGTTCCTCGGGAGATGGTCCAGAGCGGAGACGCTCAGGCACTACTTGCATGAGGCGCTAACAGTGCAGGTGGAGACGCAGAGCCGGCCCGAAGCTAAAGCTCAGCTGGCATTTGTCTTGGAGCATGCGCGATATCTTGAAGCGCCACCTCCAACTTCATTGGCCCACTTGCTCAAGAGGGTTAGCTAGGATGCCCAGCCGTCTTTCGGCCGCCCTGCGTGAGCTAGCTGAGGCGTTGGAGGACGCAGAGGCTGATCACTGGACCGTGGTCGCTGAGAGTCCGAGGGCTGCTACGCGGGAGTCTCCTTCACCGCCAAGAGCTTCAAGAGCAAGCGAGACTGAGCAGGCGTCAGCGTCAAGCACTGGTCCTCAACCTCCGCTTCTTCGACGCACAGAGGCGCAGGCAAACAGTGGAGCGCGGGCGCGTGCAGCAGCCACCAGGGAACCCGGAGGCTGCCGCCCCACAGTGCGAGAGCAGCTAGAGAACGTTAAAGGCAGCTCGGTGGCGTACAGAGAGGACCTCCGTACGTACATCATCTTGGCCAATCCGAAGCAGCCTCATCGTTTAGGATGGGTCCAGGGACCGGCAGGGGTGGTTTGGCCACAGCTCGAGGCGACGCTCCCCAACGGGCGACTTTACGGCTCAGCCGTCCGTCTTCGGCGGGTGAACGGCCTGGAGGAGGCCCGCGAGCTGTGGAACAAGTGCCATCCGGGGAAGCCCATGCCGCAGCTGCAACTATGAAGCCGATGGCATCGGCTGCAGATGCGATCCTCCGGGTTGTGGAAGATGCAGCGGCACAGTTGGGGCCTGTTCAAGTGGATTCAGGTCGGACGCCTCAGGAGGTGCTATCCGACCAGGCTTCGAGGGAGGCGGCAGCTCGTTGGCGTGCAGGAAGTGCGCCGCGAAGGTTCACAGCGACTTTGGCGCGACTGGCAACGGCGGTGCAAAGTTGGACAGCCCCGGGGTCGAGGCCAGAAGCTTCGGGTCCTGCCCCTCTTGCTCCCGTTCGTCCTCGTCCCCTACGTGAACCTACCGACGAGACCCGCCCGTCCGCCATGGCTGCTTGGGGCCATTTGGCGGTACGCCTCGCAAGAAATCGTATAAGGACTCTGGTGGTTTTGTTCGTCATTTTGATGTTCCCGCGCCTCCTCGCGCTGAGCTTGGCCCTCATCATTCGGCTAATGATGCGGGCCGTGGTGGCGCTGGCCTCGCACCTGGTCCGTGAGCTAATGTATCAGACTATGACAGCAGCCTCTGAGCTCGAGGAGATGCTCATCGGCTGGCTGAGTTATCAGATGGGATCATCGGCATTCCCCCAAGCACAGCAGGTTCCTAGTCTGCCACCTGCTGGAAGCAATCTGCGGGCGGCTGAGGCTCCGCCCCCCGCTGCCCACCCGACCCGCCCATACGACATTGTCACGTGGGTGCTCTTGGCCCTCAACCTCCTCCAGAACCGCCAACTTCGGGGGGGTGGGGGACCACAAGGTGCAGCTTAGCTCTTCGCTGTGGACTCTGCGGCCTACCTCCAGGTGCTCTTGTGTCTGTACCTGCAGGGCAGCTTCACTCAGCTCAGTGCGGCAGCTCGTTGAAGTTTCTTGGAAGCCATTGCCTAAGGCCCTGGCTTTGACTAACTCTTTCAGTTACGGTTGGCACCCGCGACCAGAGAAAAGAGAGGGGTCCGAACGTGTGTGCTCTCAACGGCGGCATGGCAAGGAGGCAGGCGGGAATGAACTCGACATTCCAGCTGCTCTGTCGCTCAGGTGATTGTTCAGTCTGCAGAATAAACAACTGTGCGGGCCCTGCCGACGTTCGTGTCAAGCTTTTGCCATCCTCCTCCCCGCCACCGACCACAAGGTGCAGCTTAGCTCTTCGCTGTGGACTCTGCTCTGCGGCCTACCTCCAGGTGCTCTTGTGTCTGTACCTGCAGGGCGGCTTCACTCAGCTCGGTGCGGCAGCTCGTTGAAGTTTCTTTTCTTGGAAGCCATTGCCTAAGGCCCTGGCTTTGACTAACTCTTTCAGTTACGGTTGGCACCCGCGACCAGAGAAAAGAGAGGGGTCCGAACGTGTGTGCTCTCAACGGCAGCATGGCAAGGAGGCAGGCGGGAATTATATGTGAGAGGTAGACATAAT